AGTTCTTGGTTTTTCCATACCTCTAGCAAAAAGAGTTGAATTATAACACAAAAGATACCGGTTAAGTTCTTGGTTTTTCCATACCTCTAGCAAAAAGAGTTGAATTATAACACAAAAGATACCGATTAAGTTCTTGGTTTTTCCATACCTCTAGTGAAAGAGTTGAATTATAACACAAAAGATACCGGTTAAGTTCTTATTATTCCCATACCTCTTTTCTATAACGTTCTCTGTCTTTATTAGCAGCATCAAGAAAAGGCTGCTTTTCTTCTTCTGACATAGAATTCCATTTGGCTGCACATTCTTTACCAAAATCACCAATCTGGAAAAGTTCAATATTCGTATATACAGATTTTATTCCAATCACTATTTATACAAATATAAGATCATCACATTTCTGATATTCACTGTCAACTATTTTACACATATACATAATCCTGAAATCTAGTTATTGTATATAATTTCAAGCAACTTCTCTTTCTGAGGGAGAGAAATAATTTCATCTTCTCACTTATTGCAAGTTTCCATTAAATAGAGCATCATACCATATAGAATCACTGAAATGTTTGGCTTCTTAAACATCGGTAAAGGAAATAATACTATTTCCCGACCCCAGCAACATTCTTACTTTTGAAATGAATATCTCGTGTTTGAAAGCTACAAAAATCACAATCATTAAAATAAAACTACATATCGGTGTATTTATCAGTTTATGCAATTTGATTTGACAAGCCTTTGAGAACTCTGATTATCTAGCAAAAAAAGTTAAAAACGATTCGACTTTTCTTGAAACTGTGAAATAAGAACGTATGAGAAAAGCTAAAGATGCAGTTACATGTTAATAAAAGTGAGCATAAGCATACAGAGATTTTGTGATCTTAATATAAACAAACTAAAAAAAAAAAGATATGCTTTTGTTGATTTTTTTTTATCGACAATAATACTTTCCTAGATTTGTGTGCATAAAGGCCCATCAAATATTTCATAATAATGAATGTCTTGACACTACTTTCAGTACAGTCTTTGAAACGGAAGTAAGGTTTGGATTTCATTGAATGTTTTCTTATTAAACCTGTAAACTTTCATTTTGTTGAAACACAAGTAAATTAACTGGATTCAGAAATACATTATATCTTAAGTAGTATGTCAGTAGTAGCTAGCGATTATAGCAGAAAATAAAAAGTTTGTTTGCATTAAGTTTCAGAATTATAATGTCAGAATGTGAAATAAGGAAAACTTGTTAACATTAGATAAGAGTAGCTTTTATTAACAAATACTGACTTTTTGGATACACAGTTACAATAACTTGTTATTATAGATCTGTATTTAAAAATATAACCACTCATCTAATGTGAATTTTCAAGGAATGTTACATTTACAGTTTAAATTTTGATGTATGGTTGTAATAACTATTTTTCCTAATACGAAATAAAAAAAATTATAATAAAAAACACTTGAACATGCTGTTTTAAACATGGTGACTCAAACTACAAGACTTGCAAGCTACTGGAAAAGGCTTATCAACTGATTATCTGTGTAGATTTTTTACATAAATGTGACTGCATTATTAAAATCCTTTTGACCATTGTTTATAGTTGGTCTGAATATTCATTATCACAGCTGGATTATCAACTTAAAAACTGACAGTGACTCCTGATGGTCAGTGGCTAAACACTAGACTAAGCTAAGCTTTGTGAAGTAAATATCATCTTTAAACAGATTAGCTGACGTAAGTTTTTAGCCTCTCTTTACATTTTCCCTCAAGCTTGTGTTACAAGCAGCTGTAATAAGCCCACACAAAGTTTGTTTGCCTGTAATTTTATCCACAAATCCCCTTTTCTTTACTTCTAACACCTGGATCATCAATAAAATATTACCCAAAATATGTATACAATTGTACTCCAAGTGTAGCACTTTACAAGGAATAGTTTTCGTCCATATTCCTAATTCTAACAAACTTAACATCTGGTACACATTGTGACCAAAAGACGAACAAATGTCATCAGTGGAAAACACTGGAAACGAGAGTACACGTTAACAACAGCTGTCTAATCAGTTCAGGGCTATGAATGGAGTAAGAGTTACTAGAATACTGTAAACATGAGAAAATTAAGAAGAAAGCGTACATTATGAGACATTTTATAGGAAGTTAGGCCTAAATAGAACTTTAGTAAATGAAATAAAACACTTTTGTTATCATTAAGTGGACTCGACTTTACATTATTTTTTGTTGTCAAATAATCCACAGAACCAACTAAACAACAGAAACTGTTACGCTTAGCCAAATTTTTTATGCTCCTTTCCTGTCAGTAATTATTGTGCGTACTTTAACTATGTTGTTTACATTAAACTTACGGTTCTTTTTATACTTGATGGTTTTAGTCTATCTTCACAACTTCTAAAAATCATACATATTTCTGAGGTTTTATAACTAATATTTTTTTAATACTATGAAAGGGGGTATCTAATGATTATTCTTTAGCACGAACCATGCCAAAAAAAGCCATTCCTATACAGCTGATGTAATAAATAAGAGAGCAGGTAACAGGAATTCACAATGTTCACAGAGCTAATGTATTTAAGGCATTCATGCACTAAATTCAATTTTTAGAGGGTTGCCATTTAGTAAAGTTTTACTCCTGCTTTCATTTCATCAAACAATGAACAAAACCTTAAATTCTGGGTTAATACAACACAGTCCAATTTAACAGAAATGAGTGGGGGAGTCATTAATTTCAAACTTTTTACAGTTTGTCACAAAAGGTTTTGGAGATATACAAGTGTGTGTAGATATTTTTTTTGGCATTTTCACTTAGCAACAATCAGATTTTAGCTGTTCAGTTTCAGCAGGGGCCAAAAGTTGTTTTTATTAATGTCGTAGTTGACCATATTATCAGAAGTTTCCAAGACATACTTTATGTAAATAACAACATGTTTCTGACCAATGACAAAATTAGGAATAAAAACAAGGGTTATATCCAACATACTTTATGTAAATAACAACATGTTTCTGACCAATGACAAAATTAGGAATAAAAACAAGGGTTATATCCAACATTACTCCACTGTTCAGCTAGAAATAAGGGCAGGGGGGAAGAAAAATAACATAAGCGTTATCCAATCATCATTCAATGTTTGTTAGATGTTCCTTTAGAAGTGTAATTTATGCAGAATTAAACTGACAGTTTGAATTTTTCCACCGACAGATGTGAAAAAACAAACATACTGACACGAATGTATAAACGAGTATTTCTCAGAATAATGTCTTTACCCTCCTGCCGATGTCTCAATATCTTACAAATTTCAATAAGCATTTTTCATCCTTATAAACATTTCATTTTCTCAAACCTTGATAACCATTTAACATGAAAAAAAAGATCTAACATTCTATAAAATTGTATAGGTGCTGAAAGTTTAACCAAACCAATCAGTTATGAATGTTAACTTCACAGCTCACCCTGGGTATCTGTCTTCCCGATTTCTTCATCTCTTCTCTATACCACTGAGTGAAATTAATATATGCAGTGGTGGCACGTTTTGGTGGAAGCATGCCATCTTTGTTGACCTTTGGCTTTTTCTTCATCTTCCCGCCACCACTTCTACCACTTGGATAAGCTGTCATGAGATGTGAACTATGAGGAAAATGATGGGAACCACTGTTATTTGCGAAGGGTGACCCCTGTAGTCCTGCACCAACCAAGTGATTAGCAGCATTCATTGATAAATTGAGTCCTGTTGGTAACATCGATAGCTGAGCCATAGAAGGATGGATACCGGATGCGGAGTTCCCACCCGAGGCCATCGCTGCTGCTTGGTGTTGTGCCATTCCCTGGTAGTCATATTCTGCTGTACATTGACATAAGAATACAATATAAACTGATCAGTCATTTCACACTATATCCATACAATCACTTCTTTTATTCAACTTCAAAAGATCCTCTAAGACAAGTTTACATCAACGAACAGGTGAGAAAAGCTTACAGTATCTGCCCTAATTCTTTTTCACTCTTACGTTAAGCAATATAAATGTCAATAGTCATTAAATGATGTTAAACCGAGAAAAAAATATCCATTTCATTCACAGTCATACGTTAAAGTGACAACACTTCTTGTTCTGTATAACACACACGAGTCAGTCTAAATGCAAGGTTCTGTATAACACAAACGAGTCAGTCTAAGTGCAAGGTTCTGTATAACACAGACGAGTCAGTCTAAATGCAAGGATCTGTATAACACAAACGAGTCAGCTAAGTGCAAGGTTCTGTATAACACAGACGAGTCAGTCTAAATGCAAGGATATGTATAACACAAACGAGTCAGTCTAAATGCAAGGTTCTGTATAACAAAGACGAGTCAGTCTAAATGCAAGGATCTGTATAACACAAACGAGTCAGTCTAAATGCAAGGTTCTGTATAACACAAACCAGTCAGTCTATATACAAGGATCTGTATAACACAAATGAGTCAGTCTAAATGCAAGGATCTGTATAACACAAACTAGTCAGTCTAAATGCAAGGTTCTGTATAACAGAACTGTATTATAATTATTTACCTTAACAGCCTCAGCTTCTAACCTTTTCACATCTGCTTTCTTTTAGTTTTATTGCTTTAAAGTGTTATTTTATCCTCTCTCACAGTAAATAAAAAACCTTGAAAGCTTTGTGTAAAAAATGATCATGTTATAATCTAAAATTACCAACCGCAGAGGCCATGCTTCCTCATCACGTGATGATGAGAAATTTTTTTTTTCACTTTAGTTTTATCATCTAACCTAACAAGTTTCTAATTTTTACATTTACTTTTGTCTGAGACACATAACAATAAAAATATACATAGAAAATGAGAAATTTAACACTTACTATAGACTTGAGGCCATTTGCACGCAAGTGCCGTGCTTTTCTAATCATACTTTTTCTCACTATGTTGATTGTCCAAAAAATAATTCAGGTAACTTTCAAACATGCATTTTAGAACACAAAAAATATATCAATCACCAGAATAGAATGTCCCAAAAGTATTATAATTTATGTGGCTTTCTAGCTAAGCTTTAAAGAGATTTAAAAAAAAATTCCAACATTGCTCAGAGCAATGAACCTACTCATTAAATGAAAGCTTTTCTTACAAAGTGGCAAGTCTGACTGTCAAAACTAAACAAACAAACATGAGAGGGTGGTACAAAGAAGACTGCTCTTTCTGTTGATTAAAAGTTTATCCATTAAACATGTACCAAGTAGGTTAGAAACCACCCTAAACCTACAACAAGATAAGATTTTTTTGGTGAGTTTGACAAATTTATCAATATGTCAGCAAGTTGACAACATGGGAAGTTCAAATTTCATATGCTGGCCTGCCACTATCTGTGGTTCATGTTTCTGATTAGTTGGACAATCTGAAAACCATAAAAGGAATTAAAGAAAATATATATTTCTTGCCATTAAGCTAAGAAAACTGGCTCTTAACTAGAACACGAGTGGACTGCTACTACTACAGGTTCAGCCGTGAAAACTTGAAAAGAAAAAAACAGAACTTCAACTGTTGAATACGAGGTAGACCAAAGCCTAGATTATTTTTTTATAGGAATTCTTAGTTTAAGAACAAGCATGTTATTGTTGTCTCATACAAGATCTTGGTAAAGCCTCATTACAAGTACTTACTGCATGAAGTTACACAAAGGATAATATGCTGTAAAAATTGCAGAGAAGGGCTCTAAGAATATCAGTAAACTACTTTAGTTACTTACTGTGTGAGGAAAGGCTTCATGTTTTGGATTTACTTTTCCTAGTGGAGTAAACTTGGGAGGGGTCTGATTTGGAGGTGCTGACAGTATGTGAAAACAAACTTGAATATTAGAAAAATAGGTATGTTTTTGAAAATCTAGAAATAGACTTGGTTTTCAGACTTTTTTGTTCATTAATTTATTACTCTTATAAAATGGTTTGACTGATGTGGTTCTACAGTTAGTTGATGTGGTTGTACAGTTAGTTTTAAAATGGTTTGACTGGTGTGGTTCTACAGTTAGTTGATGTGGTTGTACAGTTAGTTTTAAAAATGGTTTGACTGATGTGGTTCTACAGTTAGTTGATGTGGTTGTACAGTTAGTTTTAAAATAGTTTGACTGATGTGGTTCTACAGTTAGTTGATGTGGTTGTACAGTTAGTTTTAAAATAGTTTGACTGATGTGGTTGTATAGTTAGTTTTTAAAATGGTTTGACTAATGTGGTTGTACAGTTAGTTTTAAAATGGTTTGACTGGTGTGGTTCTACAGTTAGTTGATGTGGTTGTACAGTTAGTTTTAAAATGGTTTGACTGATGTGGTTCTACAGTTAGTTGATGTGGTTGTACAGTTAGTTTTAAAATGGTTTGACTGATGTGGTTCTACAGTTAGTTGATGTGGTTGTATAGTTAGTTTTTAAAATGGTTTGACTAATGTGGTTGTACAGTTAGTTTTTTAAAATGGTTTGACTGATGTGGTTGTACAGTTAGTTTTTTAAAATAGTTTGACTGATGTGGTTGTACAGTTAGTTTTTTAAAATGGTTTGAAAAGAATTAATTATTTTTCTTAAAAGGGTCAGAATGACATTTATAAAGTTCCCTTTTCTTTTTTGCTATCATTATATTGTGCACATCAAGGTACAACCCTTTTTGTTTGAAAATAGCAAAAACTAACAGGTTAAAATCAGAGTTTGACAAAGAGGTTAGTTCAAGGCTCTAGTTAAAATGGAAGACTACGATATGATGAGAAGTATTTAAAAAATTCCAGGTTATTTAACAGTTGCGAGATTATGAGGGAAAGTCAAGAGGTTGAACGTACTTGGCAACCCAAGTCAGGGATTTTAAAGGTAGAAAGTTTTTAACTGGCAATTGTTATAAGCCATCTGATTAGACAATTATGTCAATCAGAAATTGTTTAATGAGATCAAGATTGTTACTAAAAAGAATATTGATGCAGTAATTATGGGATACTTTAACTTTAGACACAATGATTGGTATTGTATGAAGTCAAACACTCAGTGAGAAAAATTTCTTGAAATGGTCAGACAGCCAATCAGAGGAGGCTACTTTATTGTTAATCACTAATAAAAATACAGTTGCAAGAGTGAAGTTGGGATTCAGAAAGACAATTTTATGGCCATAAAGACATGAATTATCATTAGTGAATTGAGATAATAGGTTAAAAGGTAATGGAGAACAGATTTGGGTAATTCTTAAAAACAAACATCTTCCTAACACAAGGAAAAAGATAACAGGGAAGATCAAACCTCAGTTACTTGTTAAAGTCATTAAGAATAAAAACAGTAAAGATAAAATCTTTGACTTGAGCCTATGTGATTCCTTGGTTTTTGTGCCTTACAACAGATGTCACTGCTATGACTACTGTTTTTCTTCTGAATGCTATTGGTCAATGAAACAGCAAATAAAGGTAAAACTGGTCAAAATGTCACAGCTACCAGATCCAGTTATCCATAAGGAAAATGCATTGAGGATCTGCCAGGTCCATGTATGTATACATATGTGGTAAAATTCATTGTTATAGGCCTATGGGTGAGAGTATTGTTTTAAACAGGCCAGATTTAAATAAACAGACTCCAAGAAGGTTATACAAAGTGAAAAAAAGATTGCAACTAAAAATGATTAAAAAAAAAAGACACTGACCAGATGTGGAATAATAAGGGCAGCCAAAAAACATGACATATGACCTCACTGACCTATAACAAGTTCAGCATAAAGAAGAATCCAATGTTAAACAGAGAAGAATTAAAAAGCAGTGAAAATAATTTATTAGTTTAAGGTAATTGATTATTAAGCCTCATAAGTAGCCAATTAAAATACTCCATTAAAAGCTCAAATATAGCTACTAGTAACACCTAGCCATCCTTCTGTATAATTGATGTCTTTCTCCAGCACCATGAAATGTTTTTTAAGTTAATATCTGTGTAGCACCTTATCAAAAGCCTTTTAAATTTCTAAGTACATCCCTTTTTTATCATCCAGTAACATCCTTAAAAAAAAGTTGACAGATTATTGCTGTAGAGTAACATGTGTATCTTGTCTTTTTATTATACAAGTTACACAAGCATGATAGAAAAATCACAGAAAATTGGAATTAAACATAACGTAAGGTAAGCTATGAGAACATAATTAAAATTTATTTTCAATTGACTGAAAAATGCAAGACCTCTTGAATAAGGTGTTTAAAATTGTTAGGAAGTAGTTGTAGTTCGTAAGTTTAGATTACATGTTAATATCCAAATAGATGTTCTAAAATAGTTCTATGGACACTATCCAAACTGTTATTAATAACCTTGTTTATTGTTTCACCTGTGTATGTTATTACTGTACATATGATTAAACTATTGTTGACTGTGTGTATGAGTGTTAGTGATCATGTGGTTGTTTAGTGGGGGTGGTCTATATAGATTGGTCTTATGTCACCATGCTAGTTCTTACAAGTAATCATTTATTCAGTTAAACTACGCACACAAATTTAAAAACTACAATTATTTTTATCACAAATGTTAGTATAAGTATATTTTGGAATTAAGAACCTGAAAACTTTATCCAAATTTATAAGATTAATTAGTCCCCAGCTGAAACAATTAATAATATTAATAGTAATAATGCTACTACGAATATAATTCTAAATTTGTGAATTGTATTTTGTAGTAATGTAAAATTTATCAGAAAAATGCAACTGGTTTTGATACTTATCCATATACATTATATGTACCATTTTTGTATTTGTGCAATTAAATTTACATTCAACAACTGTAAATGTTTCTAATTTTACTTTTTTACATTTACCGAATTTTGACGTTTTATTCTAAGCCTAATAATAATATACTAAGTTCCCGAAAAACATTTTTCATCGAATTGTAAATAGCGCTCTGATTGGTCTTTCCTCTCAAGCTCACTGTTACGACAGCGATAACTGGTCATGATCCACAGGGCTTGTCCAAGTCTACTCTTGGTCTCCTTCCTTATCCAGTTTTATATTTATGAAAGTAATGGCAGATCCCGTCGTGCGAGTTTGAATCAAAACTTATCACTAATTGACAAATCACAACTAGCTAGATACATTACACTATTCAATATATTAACTAAACGTTTATATAAATGTCCCATTGCGTCGAAAACGGCCCAAAAACTATTAAATGGCTCGATAAATTAGACTAGCATGAAACAAAACTCGAGTAATGGCGGGAAAGCATGAAAGCTTCGAACCAAAAATCCACTTTATCAGTTTTTTCTTAACATAAAACTTTATTGCGTTACCAAAAAGCGAAGAAATATACTTTAAATTTATTTATGTATTGCTTTTTATGAAGTATTATACCAAAGTTTGTAGATCTCGACTTACCCATAATTCTTATGTTATTTTGTAAAACATACAAATCCTCTTCACTATCTTACATACGCCAAACTTCACATATCTATTGTGTAAGTTCTTTACGCAAGCGCTATAGTGTCATGTTGACGCATTGCCACCTAACGGTGATTGAATAAACGTGAATTAAATAATTTGATCGTAAATACTGATCTCTCTCTAAACAAAGTTTAGTGATTGTAAATTGTATCACAGTTAGCTTTAACGCAAGACATTTCAGTGTAAAAACCAGAACCATTAGAATCATTTGTATAAAAAGTTCAGGTAAAAATTTAAGAATTTGGAAAGTTCGATGAGTTATATAAAATATAACGTTGTCATTTAGATGAGATAAGTTATATTATCTTTTTTGTTGTTGAAATTCGTGCAAAAGTATTTAGGGCTATCTGCGTTAACTAAGCATAATTTTGAAGTGAGAGGGCATCTAATTAGCATCCCCTACCGCAAATTGCCTTGCAAACTCATTTAATAAAGTTTAGAATTTTATTTGATAGCCAACATGGTTTCACTAAGGGAAAATCTTGCCTCACAAATCTTTTGACATTCTTTGAAAAGGTTACTGCTTATGTAGATGAGGTAAGAGTGTACCTGGATTTTTAGAAAGCATTTGACAAGGTGTCACATAAAGGGCTTTTTAAAATATTATCTATATAACTGTGGGGGATAAGTTAGCAAATTGGATAGAAGAGTGACTGGAAGAAATCAGAGGGTTGTTACAAATGGACTTCGGTCAAACTGGATTAATGTCACCATTGGTGTACCTCAGGGCTCAGTCTTGGGACCTTTTCTCATTTTGATTTACATTAATGACATAAATAAAGGAAAGGTCAATAAATTACTTAAATTTGCAGATGATATTAAAGTCAAATTAACAAAATTTTAATTTTCTAGCAGGATGACTGACTTATGGAATGAATTGCTGAAGGCAGTAATAAAGTCAAGGGGGGTGAATTTTCACTTTTTCCAAGGGTGGGTGTGAAGGCCAGCCTTGAAAGACCATTTGGTCCCTTTTTGTGCGTACACTATGATATGTGAATATTTTTAATTGATTGACTGTCTTTTAGTCCGTAGGCAAAAATATCAGGAAGGTTTGTTGCTGATAATGTGACCAAAAGTTTATAACAACGTAGAAAACTTCGCTCCAATGGCTTAATAATAATTTATGTATATATAAATATATAATCCGCATTATGATTTTATATCAATACCTAAAATCTAATAACTATAATATTTGTGATAAAATTCACTTAGACTGCAAATGTTTCCTCTCTCTCACAATTTTCTTAATTAATCAATTTCTGATTTCAAAGTAGAAATGTGTAAACCAGAAAAGGACGAATTAAAAGGAATGTGAAAAAAAAGAAACATTAACGTTTCACCAGCTTGAGGCGTTTAAATTAAAAAATTCTTGAGATACTCAGATGACAGGTGGCGTATTATGCCGACGACCGTCTGTACGTAGGTCAGGTTCTTCAGTTTAGTAATAATACTTACTTAAAACCGAGTGTATTTATATTAAATATTTTGCAGTCTTGGATTCTTTTTTTAACTTGAAAGATGCAGGCATGTCTGTGGAGCAAAATTTCACTCGTTTTGAAAGTAAGTACAGACTTGCCGAGAACGATGAAGATATTTATACCAAACCTGAATGAAAACTACGCAAAAATGGTCTACTCGATGTAGTTGCGTGTTCGTGGAGTATGAGGACACTAGGATGTCCTACCAAATTACAATTCTAGCCCTTTAAAACATTTGGCTTAGAAATGTATCACTTCCCCAATTTTTCATGATAGAAATTAGTTTTAAAATTACTTAATTACAGTTATGCATTTTTCTATTTTTGATTCTAAATAGTTATCGTTAGCAGTAGCAGCAAAATCACTACAAATACAAGCTTTATGATTTCATCATTGAAGTTTATAGCATCTCCCCTCCCCACTTCCACAAATGAAAGGACTGCCATACTCATTTCGGGATGATATTAGCAAGAAAAAAAATGCTATTGAAAAAAAATAGAGAGTATACTAATGTTTATTTTCACTTGTTAGGTTCAGGTGGCCATAATTAAGTCGTATAATTGGAAGTGAGGTGTTATTGGTCCAACATGTATAATTACAGTGAATAAGTAGTCATGTTTTTGTTTTTAAAACATGAAACAGCCACTTTGTATATAGTTTATTCTTTGGTTTAGAATCTGTCCAATCTATACAAGGTACTAATGATTTTGATACAAAATGTATTTCAGCTTTCATTTCCTCAAATGAGTTATAGCTCTTTATCGTTGCCTTTCATGATGTTAATGGGTTTTTTTTCTTGGCAACTGATCTTTTGCTGGCTTTTGCATTATTCTAGTTGGACTGTATATCTGTGTCATTACATTATTTTACAATAAAAATAATACAAAGGATCTATTGTGTGTCTTGGTAACAAAAAATACCTTGTATCTTTTTTTTCAATAAAATCGTGCTTGTAAATGTTTGGATCCATTATCAGTACTGAGCATTTATTACATAGTTTTAAACTGTTATTCCAGGCAGCTGGAGTCCCAAGGATACCTGTGATACAGAATCTGCCTCTTTTGTCAGTGTTAAATAGAAGACATTATGCTACTGACACAGGTATTGTAGTTACCTTTTCAAAGAATATAATTTTGCTTAAAGAAAAAATCTGCGAACACTAACTAACCTGAAAGTCACTAATTTTTGAAATAATTTTTTTCTATGAAACAGAGTAAAAGAGGATGAAGCATTAAAGTTTAGAAACATTCTACCATTGATTATGTGTAATGGAAGTGGACAAGTCATGTACTAAACCTAAATCATTGTGTATGTTGAAGTCTATATGATTGAGCTGTTTGGTAAAATTAATTGCCATTTTAGTCTTATTTTACAAATTTAAAGAATTTAGAATGGGGTCAAAAATGCAGTTTTTTTCTTCAGACTAGTTTGTGGCTTTAAGGTAGAAAAAAATGTTGCCACAAGTTCTATTTATGATATATGTACTTTTGTTTTTCAAGCTCAATGTTAGAGGTCTCCTCATGCATGTGCATTCTCATTTACCATATTTTATTCTTGAGGGGATAATTAATTCTCTCCAGTAAAGTTTCAGGCACTATAGGATGAGATAAGTTCTATTTATGATATATGTACTTTTGTTTTTCAAGCTCAATGTTAGAGGTCTCCTCATGCATGTGCATTCTCATTTACCATATTTTATTCTTGAGGGGATAATTAATTCTCTCCAGTAAAGTTTCAGGCACTATAGGATGAGATATAGATATACGTACTACTACTCGTCGTATACATTGAAAACAAACTAAACTACTTCTCTAGGTATGTTTATTATGAGATTTAATGTTACATATATGTATTTTCTGAGGAAGACTACGGGACTGAGGCTTGAAAGGTTACAATTATTGTTACAGACTGACAAGAAACCCTGAAATGTAATATGATTAGAAAATAAACCTCAGATAAGTGGGTTAATTAGAACACTGCAACGTTCAGTAATAACTACAGAAGAAAAAAAGTGATTTTTATAGTGAAAATTACAACTTTGAAACTTAAAGTTTGTCATCTGATGATGACAAATGCTTGTCGAAACGTTGTATATTTGTTATTTGTAATAAAGTTTCTTTCATTACCCATTCAAACTATCTCCAAACTTTACTATGTAAAACTAGGCTCCTTGTAATCAGATCTTAATAATTGTGTCTCAGTGGTACGAACTTTCACTCACATCCAAATATGAAACACTGGTATTTACTACATGTTGTCTTTACTGTTCGTGATGTTCCAGTACTTAGTAAGCTAAACAATCTATTTTATATTGGAGTGTCTTCGTATTTAGTAGCTGTTCTCAAGGTAAATACATCTTTAAGGTTTTTAGGCAGTTAGAAAATGTGAATTTTTTTTTTGTCTACAAAATTTAAGTTAAATGTGGAACGTATTTTAGCAGTTTAAACCATTTTCAAGCGTTCGAGTTCTAAACTGGCAAACTGTTTTGTTTATTTTGAACTAAGTTATAATTTTTTTCCACCTAACTTACTTAGATTAGTTCTTTCTTTACTTTCCCTAAAGATAAATTATTTTCTGATTTTTTTTTTCCCTGACTTATTTGTTGACTAAGAAGAGTTATTAAAATAAAACAGATTTATCATGACACCATCACCTTATCTAAAATTGAATTGTTGTTTTTGGATTGTTATAATATCACCATATTTTTAAACATGTTAAAGTTTTTAGTGTAATCTTGTTTTAGTTTCATGACATTTATTGTTACAGTATATATGTGTATGTTCTTACTTTTGATTTTTAAAAACAGCTGTACTAAGAATGTCAGGAGCTCATATCTAATAAGATAATAATAAATTTAAATCATGCTGGTCTGCAACTACAAAGAAAATTTGTAACCTAAGCTACCAGCATAGTTTTTTTAAAATATGTATTTCATACTAGTTTAGGTGGCTGATTTTTTTCTTAAAAACATTATTTATAGACACATGGTTATAATTGTTTAATAGATTCTTAAAGGTATTAATTTACTGGTACATGTAAAGTATTGCTACATTTTCCTTGTGGGTTAGATTCATAACTTCAAACTAGATTTTATTAAGTGCTGTCTAATTACCAGTAGCTTACAGAAGATTTCTTTTGTGGATTGTTTTCATGGTGTTAAATTAATATTTTCCAAACATTCATTTTAGGCTAATTCCTAGGATGACACTTACTTTGCGTACAGATTTCCAAATAATGTTATAACAAACCACTAAACAGATTAATCACTGTTTAACAATCCCCTTACTGGCTCATTGGTAAGTCTTTGGACTTATGACACTAAACATTTGGCTTGAATACTTGTGGTGGGTACAGCATAAATAGCCCATTGTGTAGCTTTATGGTTAGCAACAAACAGTTTTAAAGATATAGCTCCCTGGTACCTCAGTGGTTAGCTGTAGGGTTTATAGTGCTAAAACTTGGGGCTCATTGCCGATAGCCCATTGTGAAGCTTTATGGTTAGCAACAAACAGTTTTAAAGATGAAGCTCCCTGGTACCTTAGTGGTTAGCTGTAGGGTTTATAGTGCTAAAACTTGGGGCTCATTGCCGATAGCCCATTGTGTAGCTTTATGGTTAGCAACAAACAGTTTTAAAGATGGAGCTCCCTGGTACCTCAGTGGTTAGCTGTAGGGTTTATAGTGCTAAAACTTGGGGCTCATTGACGATAGCCCATTGTGTAGCTTTATGGTTAGCAACAAACAGTTTTAAAGATGGAGCACCCTGGTACCTCAGTGGTTAGCTGAAGGGTTTATAGTGCTAAAACTTGGGGCTCATTACATGTGATGGTTACATTGCCGATAGCCCATTGTATAGCTTTGCACTGTAACATGAAACAAATATATACAAGAAAATTGTCACAGAAATATTTATAAATAGTTATTGAGTAGAGTATCTTAATGTTGTTGAAGTTTTTTGAAGTGTTGAATTTCTTGTTTTGAACACTTAAGCAATAGTTAATAATTTGAATGTTTCTGAGTAACTTATGAAAAAGTAATTTTTATTAATACACATCTCAGGAGAAGTAGACCTTGTGGTCATTGGCTCTGGACCAGGGGGTTATGTAGCAGCCATCAAGGCTTCTCAGCTGGGAATGAAGGTAAGAATAATTAAATTGTTTAGGTTTTTCATTTTAACTGAAAAGTGAAACTCATCCATCACTCCGTTTATATAAAAACAAAATATTTTTTATTACTCTTTCAAGTGATCAAAATATAAACAGTGCCAGTTGGAGTGAGGCGAGACCATTGTAGATAAATAGTATTATGTAGAAATGGTATTTATATAAGTGAAGCGAGACCATTGTAGATAAATAGTATTATGTAGAAATGGTATTTATATAAGTGAAGCGAGACCATTGTAGATAAATAGTATTATATAGAAATGGTATTTATATAAGTGAAGCGAGACAGTTGTAGATAAATAGTATTATATAGAAATGGTATTTATATAAGTGAAGCGAGACCGTTGTAGATAAATAGTATTATATAGAAATGGTATTCATATAAGTGAAGCGAGACCGTTGTAGATAAATAGTATTATGTAGAAATGGTATTTATATAAGTTGTAGACCGTTGTAGATAAATAGTATTATATAGAAATGGTATTCATATAAGTGAAGCGAGACCGTTGTAGATAAATAGTATTATGTAGAAATGGTATTTATATAAGTTGTAGACCATTGTAGATTAATAGTATTATGTAGAAATGGTATTTATATAAGTTGTAGACCGTTGTAGATAAATAGTATTATGTAGAAATGGTATTTATATAAGTTGTAGACCGTTGTAGATAAATAGTATTATGTAGAAATGGTATTTATATAAGTGAAGCGAGACCATTGTAGATTAATAGTATTATGTAGAAATGGTATTTATATAAGTGAAGCGAGACCGTTGTAGATAAATAGTATTATGTAGAAATGAAGAATATATTAGTCACTTATTCTAATATATATATATAGGCTTGTATAGATATTTAAAAACAAAATATTTACCCAGAGATATATGATAAATGTTCCTTGATATTATGTTACTTGTGTTTTTAAAGGTATCGATTTATGTATACACACAAACATGATTTTTAGTGCAACATTAATATTTCATGATTCTAGTTCCATTGAGATCATGATTTTTTCTTTAAAAAGTTTATTTTTTTTAAAGCATCTTAACTTTCTCATTTAAGACAGTTTGTGTGGAGAAGAATGACACTCTTGGAGGAACTTGTTTAAATATTGGCTGTATACCATCTAAGGCTCTTCTACATAACTCCCACCTCTACCACATGGCTCATTCTCAAGATCTGAAGAACAGAGGGATAGATTGTAAGTCTAGAGTATCAACCTTATCCTCTATCCAATAAATAATACATTCAGTGGCTTTCAAGACTGAAACAAGTTACATAAGCTGTTACTGAGGTGTATTTAGGTTGTTTTTGGTGGAAAACACTTTGGGCTAGAATTACAAGTACGTTAAAATCGGCTATTTGTTTTTTTCCTAAAAGCATATTTCATCTTTAGTGTTTTTATTGAGCAATCTATATAAAGATGTTTTACAGTTGCACTGTTATCATTATATTGGGTTAAAATATTGCAATGGTATTCCTGGAATTTCTATTTTTATGGTTTAACCCTCTCCAGACATGTCGTGGGTTCAAGGCCATGTCATCACATTTTTTTGTCGACTCATATTCAAAATTTTATTGAACTACTATTTCCTGAATACATGTCAATAAACTGTAGATTAATTTTCAAATTTTATTATAATATATTAAATTCTTAATTTAAAAATAAATATTAAAAAAATGCAGTTAAACATTGATTTTGGTGTGTCGCGTGGTATGTTGAATGCAGCACTGGTTCAGGTTAGATGTTTGTGATGTCAAAATACTAAGTCTGTGGTTTTGTACAAAATAGAAACTCAAATTACAGATATTGATAAGCTAGAATATAAAATAAGAAGGTCTTATCTTTTCTATTTGCTATGATATTGCTCATGTAATAAATCAAACACAGTGGCACCCCGCCCACCTCTTCATTTTTGTAAATGCTCTATTATATACACTTTTGACATATGAATAACCATTTGAAAGCTCAGAATGACCCCCTAATAGTTTTCTCAGCCATTTTACAGTCTTAGGACACCATCTCTTTCTTTCAAACAAAGATTTCAAGGAGGTATGTTGTGTCTTTAGTTTGCTCGAAATGTCAAATTTTTT